GGGAGCGCCGGCTGCGAGCGCAGAGCGCGCCGTCCCTGCGCGGCGCTTGTCACGGGTGGGCCGCGCGGTGGGTGGCGTTGAGGCCTACGCTCCATTTTTCAGCTGCCCGCGTGTTGTTAGGGCTGGAACGGTTGAGCATTAAATTCACAAACAGGCCGTCAGGAGACCTCAGTTCGTACGCCGAATGAGATATCTTTTATTTCCCAAACAGCTGATCTTTGTCCGCAGTTCAGGAGGGAGTAGAGAATGTCTTTTCGCGGACGAGGAGGAAGAGGAGGTGGCTTCAATCGCGGAGGTGGAGGTGGCGGCGGTGACAGAGGTGGCTTTAATCGCGGTGGACGAGGTGGCTTCGGACGGGGAGGTGGACGAGGAGGCTTCAACAGAGGCGGCTATGACCAGGGACCTCCAGAAAGGGTAGTTTGTAAGTTGCATGAAGAGGTTATATTTGTTTAATTTCGAGTGACTGCTCCAGATCTTTAGCTTGTTTGTTTTTTATTTCAGTATTGGGAGAGTTCATGCATCCCTGTGAAGATGACATTGTTTGTAAATGTAAAACGGAGGAAAACAAGGTGCCTTATTTTAATGCCCCAGTGTACTTGGATAACAAGGAGCAGATTGGTAAAGTGGATGAAATCTTTGGACAGCTGAGAGATTTTGTATCCTTCAAAAAACGTGTGATGTACAATATTTGTTTTTTAAAGGCTGGTTGATTATTGAATGGAATTTCTTTAGGATTTTAAAATATTTCAGGGCTTGGCTGCCAGTTAGATGTGGACAGTCCCAAGTCTAGCTGCAAGTGTTGATGTCAGTAGGTGCCTCATTCACATTAAATGTCTATCTTAAAGCTGTTTCAATAGGACAGAGTACCTTATGTCAGGCAGAGGTTCTGGTACAGTACTGGCAGATGTCTTTTGGATTCATGGTTGTTCGGGATATTACTTTTTCTAGCTACCTGACCAAATTTTCTGCTATGTTACCCACCTATAACAGAGTTGTATCAAGGGAGTGGGGTTTTTTTGTGCATTAGGGGACCTTGCTCATGCTCCAGCTCATTATTTAATTATAAAAGTGAGTTTCTGCTAAGATGTCCTGTGCTCATTGCCAGTTTATTACTTAAAGTGTCAATAAAAGTGGATGTGTGCTAGGATGTCCTCTTGCAAAGCAAGCTTGGTGAGACAGAGGCACTGCGTTTGTTCTGTTGTCACTGCCAGATTGACAGAATCCTTGACAAAAGCGGAACTGGGTGAGTGACCCTGTAACATGGCAGTAGGACTTCGCCTGTGTTGGCTGGCTGAGCATCGGTAACCAGCTGCATGCATTTTCTTCTCCCACATTAAATGTGAAGTGAAATGTGCAGGTTTAAATCATTCTCACACTCTGAATGTATTAACTTGCAGATTTATTTTTTGTATCAGAATTACTTGAATTTCAGAAACTTGTTTTCTTCCTACAATAACATATTCAGAAAATATGTTATTGGATTTTGCACCTCCTTGCTTCCCATTTAACCTTGAGTTTTAATTAAGCCAAGTTGGCCAGCAGCTCTTTGGGATCTGAGGAACTGCGTACCAAAGTCTTTGCATACTGCAGAGCCAAAGGATTCATGCAAGACTGTAGGTGGGATTACAGGGAGTGTCTGCCGCTTCGCTGTAGGATGAGGCTGGGCATGTGGCTGGTCCAGCAGTCCCTGCTGGCGCTCCTCTCTCCATAACCAGGCTGTTGTAGCACCCAGCAGCAGCAGCACTAGCAGAGCCCCTGCAGCATCTGAATTATTCCAGATGCGCCTTGATGTCACCCTGGCGTGAAAGGGATAGTCACTTGCTGCACAGATCTGTTTCTTTACAGTCATGTTTTTATGTACTCTTTCCACTGGTGTGTTCTTCCTTGTGCCTTAATATGTGGAGGGAAAAAATAATTTTACCACAAAATGCCGTATTTGTAACTGGGAAAATAAAAATTGAAAATAGTTGCTCTTGATTTTGTAATTGTAATTTTTCATTTGCAGTGATGATGTTTAGCTTCATTTATAAAATACTAGTTTAGAAAATATTTGAGTGTGCCTTTCATGTAATAACCAAAACCACTATTTCTAATGTTTTATTCCTTTTTTTGTGTTCCTTAAAGAAACGAACAGTATTTTTCAGTGAAACTATCCGAGAACATGAGAGCCTCTTCATTTAAAAAAATGCAAAAGGTTAGCCAATCTCAACAACAGAATTATACTGGATGTCATCAGTTAGATAAATCTGCTCTGTGTTATCAGATACTAAACGCTTTATTAAAATTTTATTAACTGTAAAAGCTAGTTGTTCTTTGTAAACATAAGTATTCATTTCCTCTTCACTTTTGTGTTTGCCACATTCTTCCTTCTTGCCCCACAAAAAAAAGATGTGACAAATGAAACTCATGCAAATATCATGTATATTTTAATAACTTTATAACACTGCGATTTATTTTTTGTGTGCTTTATTTGGCTATTTACAGAGGACAGTTTGATGTGAAGGATTAAGACCAAATTGTGGATATTTGTAAAGGGAGATATTAATGTGCTCTTTAGCCTTGGTATTTTCAAAGCCTAATGGAACTCTCTTCCTACAGTTTTACATTGATCCAGCAAAGCTGCTCCCCCTCCAGAGATTTTTGCCAAGGCCTCCTGGAGAAAAAGGTCCTCCCAGAGGAGGTGGTAGAGGAGGACGTGGTGGTGGACGTGGAGGAGGAAGAGGTGGTGGTAGAGGTAGGATCCCAAGAGTTAAAGATACAAAATGTTGTGGGTTTTTTGGTGTGGGGTAGGTTGTTTGGGTTTTTTGGGTGGTGGGGTTTTATGTTTTGCGGTAAAGCTACAGTTGAATACTTCAATATCAACAGTCCTATTGCACAGAAAAATGTTATGCATATTTCTGTTTGACTCAATGGAAGAGACAATTATATAATTCCAGTGGCAAGACCCAGGCTTCTGTTGCTAGCTAAATAATAGCACCAAAGCACAGGGAGGAGAGTATGCCGATTTGTAGTAATAGACAGAAAGGGTGACTACTAAGCAAACTTAGGGTAAAAGGTTGTAGATAATACACACTCAAAACTGTTAGTGAAAGCTTTATCTTTGCTATGTTCTAAAAATCTAGTTTGGACAAAATACGTGAAGTGCAGTGTTTGAGAGAGGGGTGAATGACCTGGTAGATCTCATCCTTCTTTGCTTTTTGAACATCATCTGTGATGTACTCCTCAGTTAAAGCTGAGGTTAATTTTTTCTCACATCACAGTTTTTTTCCCTCTTCTCCCTACCCTGCCCCTTTGTGTGCAGCAAGACACAAGTGTTTCAGTTTTTTGGTTTGTTTGTTTCAATGTTCTGTTGAGTTGTAATTATTAATGAATAGTTGTAATTAATTTTCTGCGCTCACAAAAGAAAATTATGGTGGAGTTTTGTTAGTGTCTTTAGTATTTTGGATGTTGCATATCAGATATCAAACAATGCTAAAATACTGCAAATGGTCTCTAGAAGAGGGAAGACACTAGTAATTAACCTAGCAACTGTTCAGCAATTTACAGTTTTTTGGTTTTTTGTTCTTTTCCGAAGCTGTCAGTGAAATAAGTTGTTATGCAAACAAAGAATTTATATGCTCCTCAAAGTGTAATTTCTTTCCTATGTTCAGGAGGATTCGGAGGAGGAAGAGGTGGAGGAAGAGGAGGAGGATTCAGAGGAGGAAGAGGTGGAGGAGGAGGAGGATTCAGAGGAGGAAGAGGTGGTGGAGGAAGCTTTCGGGGTGAGTGTGTGGTTTTTACATTTCGATAATGAGAATGGCTCCTGATTTCCAAAGCTTTTAAATATTAAACAGAATGTTGTATTTTTTGATCAGTTACAGATGTTTGTAGTTTTGTGCAAAAAGTTGCTGTGCATCACAGTAGCTAGCTTAAAGCGAAGCACAGTATTCTGTGTTTTTTGATGTTTGTGTAAGACCATGATGGTTTTTTGCATTCAGAAAGGACTCTTGAGAACAGATAAAGATGATAAATTATTTTTGTTTTATGAACTCATTTAGTATTATGTATGTAATTTATTTGCTTTAAATGCATTTAAGATGTGAATTTTTCAGTGTATTTTTCTTCCCTCTTAAAATAGGAAGAGGATATTAAAAACGGAGCCATGAGTCTCCCTGCTGTCTTACCATATCACCTGCCAAAGCGAAGAACAAGGAAAAATTTTTGTAAAGGATCCTGAAGAAGTTCTTTTTATAAGGAACTTGAAGCTGTAAAATGACAATTATTGTTACGCTAAATGACTGTTGATCAACACATGAGGAGAGCATAGCCCCAGGCAAAGAACTGAAGACTGCTCAGAATATACTTGAACTTTTTTTAATTAAGCCAGGATTCAATGTTATGCTTAAACTGTTTGCCTCTGATGAGTGACGTAGTCAATGCCTGACTTCATGTGGAAGTTTGGAGTAAACAATCAATGGAAATGTCTTTTTAAAAAAACCCTACAGGTTCACTACATGCACATTCATCGGTATGAAGCTGTTACCTACTTGTGACTGATCCCTAGTTCTCATGCTTGTTTTATATTGAATCTGCGGGGTTGCTCTAAAGTGGACCTGTTGTTTAAACAACCTTTGTGACCCTTTTTTTACAAACTAAACTTCAAAATTTTGTGTTGATAGAATTTTTTTATACATAGTAATGTATAAAAGGAAAGAAAGGTAACAAAGGATATTTTGTGGATTTTTTTGTATAAATCTCATTGAAAGCGAAAGGCATTAAGACATGTTCTTCTTAGAAGCTGCTGTCTGAATAAGCTAAGGTTAATACTATTCTCAGGTCACCTAATTGTATCTAATTACACTGATACCAAAATTGCTAAGGGTTTTTAACTGCCCCCACCTCCCCCTTATCCTGTTTTTCTTGAGGTTTCGATGCCTTGGCACCGCACCCCTGTGGTGCTCTGAGCTTGTGCAGGGCTGAGGTTAGACAGCCCATCACAGGGCTCCTCTGCACACAGCGCTTTCCTGAGGCAGGGCCCATCCACTCCCTGTTCTGCCTGGTTTTCTCTGTGCCATGGCATTACCCTGCCCACCTAGTGCAAGCAGTGGCTAATTAATAGATGAAAATTCAGTGTCTTAAAAAAATTAAGACCTCGTGTCTTGTCTGCAGTGTAATGCTGCAGTGAACTAAAACACAGGTTCCCTAATTTTATATGACACCTTCCTCTCTGTCTTGGATTTTTTAGTCAAATCCTACCTGTGGTTCTGTCACTGTGCTCCTGATCCTAGTGAGTGAAGTGTTTAAGTTTTATGTATGTGCTTACAGATACCCTAGGCTTTTTCCACAGACTATAGGAAAGGTGGGCTCACCAGCATCCTGACAGAAATGGAAAGTTACAAGTAGCTGTAGTGTCTGGGGAAAAAAGTGATAGTGCTGTCTGAAGTGAGGCAGGGGCCATGGGGGGAAGGCGTTAGTGGCAGTGTAGGCTCTCGGTGACAGTTTGCTTTTCCCTGGATTTCCCTTGCTGGCAGCCATTGCGGAGAATGGCTGGGCTTCACACCCAGGACACAGCAGTAGTGGTGTCACCTGCATGTCTTCTCCACTTGTTGGTGTCTGCATGTGCTCGCTGTTTGCAGAGGCAGAGCATTCAAGGACCAAGTCCCATTTTCAAAATGCAGTTGCAAGTGAGCCTGTTAGCCACTGCAATATTTGACCCAGATGTAGGGTCTGGCTTTCAGCTGTTTTTGAGAATGACAGCTGGTAAATCACTAGGATCAGATTGCTTAAAGGTGTCTGCAGCACTGGCTGTGTGGAACAGAAAGGGTTCTCTCTAGCACTGACGCAAAGTTATGGACGCTTGCCTGAAGCAACACTGGATGGCCACATACATACTGGTGCAAAGTTACCTGCAGTTGTGCAAAGCATTGTCTTGGCAAGAAACAGAGTTTTCTTTCAGAAAAAGCAAAGCTACTGAAGTATGGCAAGTAAAAAGCTTTGTGGAGTCACATATTTTTCAGGGCGTTTTCTTCAGTCAGCTGAAAATCAGTGGAGTCAGACTTTTCTAATTAACAGTTTAAATCCAGTAAACATCTCTGTGAGGGAAGAAAAAAAGTAATTGTTTTTTATTGGGTTTGACCTATTTACGTCTGTGACCGTAAGATTGAAGGGACGTTCTGCCTTAGGGAGCCCTCCAGCGGTGATGTGCTTAATAGACGTGGGGAGGTTTGGTTTGCTTTTCTAGTGTGGTTACTGCTGAAAATGGGAAAGACGCTTTGTTTTGGTTTTTAATTTGTTTAATGCAAACGGTAAGTTTCTCTACTCTTGTCACTTGTGGATTGAAATACACTTTGCATGTAGCTGAAAGCAACTTGCTAAACCCTGCAATGAGATTTACATTGCCCCGTATCTATACAGATACCTACAAATTGAAGAATGGACTTAAATAGACATTGCATTTTGTTGCTACTGATCTGGGACAAGTGGGGAGGAAAAGCATCACTTGAGGTTATCAAGTGCCCCCCTGATTCTGGTAATACTATCTGTTATTGGAGGATAAAACCAGCCAAAACAGGGGGTTTGGCTTTTTTTTTTTTCTTATGGCAGTATTATAAAGCAATGTGGTAAGCTGTGTTTCATCTGGCATAGGCACTGCAGTTACAGCTTTCTGGATGTTTATATACTTTAATTCCTTGCTTTATCTTTTTGGCTGTGTTTTATGAACTTCAATGTTCTAGAAAAAAATACATTTTTTTTTTTCTCTCTCAATTCCTGTTGCTGTAAAATTAGCCAAATTTAAGAGAAGAGGTGACAGAGGATGTGATGGTACATAGGATGTACTGCACACTTTGGAAACTTGCATTTTAACTAAGAATTGCATACAGAATCTGTATGAGCTCATTAACTGCTACTCGAAGTCTGGAGTCCTATCTGAATAAAAATAGTAATGCTTGGATTTTCTGAGACATTCAGCATTGCAAGCTCTGACTTCTGTGGAAGCTGCAGGATCTGAGATGCTTTTGAAAATCTGGAAAGAGTTTCAGGGGAGGAAAGCAAAGATACCGAATTACCACGATGCTTTTATCTTTTGAGGCAGGACTGTGGGGCACTAGGGAAGGGGCTTCATTGCCAAACAGATCGTCTTTCCTTTCGGAGCCCTCCCACCCCGCTCCTGCCTAATCCTCTTCTGACAGGAAAAATACCGTAACAATACAAGTACCCTGAGAACTGGAAGAGTGACTGTAGATCTGTGGCAGTAAAGAAAATGTTTGCTCATAGAACTGTGACACATGACCATCTGTAGTAATGATATGTAACTGTGATGACTGTACAAGCTTTATATCAAAATTTTCTTACCTTTAGATTCAAATGGGTGAAAGATGCAGGGTGTCTGTTGTGGAAAGCCGAGGAGTGGGAGGGGATGCTCTGTGAGTGACTTAATGACTTAGAGAAGCGAGAGCTCTTCGGGTATACCTCCTGTCTGCAGGATAGCTGCGTTCCTCAGTACTGCCTGGGTCACCGCGCCCTTCCAGCTGCTTGGAAGGCCCGGCCCTAGCCTGCGTCCTGCTCAAGCTGCCTGTGAACCACATGCAACTGGAGAACCACTGGTTGCTCATCCTTGCTGCTTTTATACCCAGTATGAGTACAAGACTGGAGGCAAAAACTATAAGGGGAAACTGGTAGGAAATACCTGCTTTGAGTGCCTGTACTGATACTGTGTATAAGCTCTTTGGGCAAGGGGCTACTGCAGCTGATATTTATGGAGGTGTTTGTAAAAGGTCTTTGGTGTGCTACTACCTCATCATTGAAGAGAAGAAAACACAAGCTTCTGCTGCTCAAGGCTTTGGAAAATGCCTAATAATTTTCTGCCCAGTAACATGCTCAGGAAAATTTGCCCAAAGTAAGCTTGCGTGTGTTTGGGAGAGCGAGTGTGTTTAGGCTTGTAAGGCATATTCAGCTATTTTCTGCAGACCAGGCTGTTTTAGAAATGTAGCAGGTGAGTTTTCTGGAAGTCATGCTTCACTTTAGAAGATACCGGACTGTGTTCTTGTGTCTGTGGCAGCTTGAGAGTTTAAATCAAACGAAGAATCTTGAAGAAGTAGATCTTTAAGGATTTGAAGGGATGGGCTTCAGAGTAAGCGTATCCTGCTTTTTAAAGAAATTGATGTTGGTGCCTTTACGTTGTGCTGCAGTTTTGTGTGTTCACTGTGATGGTGGGAATTAATTCCAAGCCAGGCTGATGACCAAGTGACCTGAGCCAACTTTTGTTGAGGTTTCCAAAGCATTGCACAAGAGGTTTGAAGGAAAATGTTTGGGGACATGTGACAGTTAATCTCTTTAGCAGTAAGAATTAAGTTTAAGCATACTGTTGCAAACGTACTCAGTTCTGTGCTGCTCTTTGTTTCAATTAACAATCTCCTGCATAGATTGGGAATGTAAACTTCTTTGCACTTTAGTCCAATTAAATCATGCTTGGAGGCTGTCAATGGCCCTCTGCTTCCCTTTTTTTTTTTTTCAGTTGTTCTGTGAGTCTGTTGAATAATGAAAGAATTTGCCTGACGGAGTTTTGTAGTGTTTCGTCGTCTCGATGAATTATCGCAGAGAGTAGGCAACCGTCTCTTTTGTCCAAAATGCATTGGAATGATTCGTCCCGTTCCTCAGAAACTGGCTATGAAGCTCATTCAGCCTTTACACAGACTGAGCACAACGTAGTTGCAGCTTATTTAATAACAGCAGGTATGGGCATTGGTAAATTGTTGCGTAACTTTTCCAAATAGAACTGTATATCTGAATGCTCAGTTTGTATAGTAACAGCAATGGCACTTCATTTTGTATTACACAAATGTCTGATGGCTTTTCTCTGTAGTTTACTGACGAGTTAACAATCAGCAGGCTGACTGAAGTGTGCAGAAATATCTAAGTTTTCTGCTCTATATTTGAAGGCAGAGTTGAAAAGTATTTTTTTGTTGATACGTAATTATAGAAGAGAGTTAGAATTAATTTCTGCCAGCTTGCAAAAGAGAT